TTAATGGCTTAGGAAACCCGCAATCCAATCAGCTAAAATAAACAACCCAGTGTAATAGGAGCATTAATCAATGAAGACTTCACTGCTGAAACTTAAATGTGAAATCCATTCACCTACAAGATAAAGGGATACTGAGAGACAGCAAGAAAAAACCAGAAAGGACAGTTTGATTTTTTTCAAAGGTGCTGAGAATCGGCATCGCTAGTTGGAGCCCATGAGTTTGTGAGTGTTCATCACCCCTGAAAGGACAAAAAGGGCCAATCCTGCAAGGTCGTGAGCACCTGCTGTGAGTTGGGTTCTGGCCTCTTTTCTTTCCTTTTACGATCAGTGAGTGTTGAAGGGATATAGTGTCTCACATGAGTGAGCCCTAGTGAAAAAAAGAAATTAGCAAGAGAAGCATATGATCTAAGCATATGGCACCTAGAAAGAACAATTTGCAGAATTGTGCTGGGATTCTGCAAACCTTTTTCTGAGTGGCTCATGGAGCCAATACTGTGAATTTGGACCCAACCTCAAAACAAACCCAGGGGTTTGTACCTTGGGTTGTTCAGAGGACCCAACCATATCAGTCACACCATCAGGGGCTCATTCACCTGCACTTCTACTAATGTGATATATGCCATCATGTGCCAGCAATGCCCCTCTGCCATGTACATTGGCCAAACCACATAAAAGAATAAATGGACACAAATCAGACATTAGGAATGGCAACATACAAAAGCCAGTAGAAGAACACTTCAATCTCCCTGGACATTCAATAACAGATTTAAAAGTAGCCATCCTTCAACAAAAAAACTTCAAAAACAGACTTCAAAGAGAAACTGCAGAGCTACAATTCATTTGCAGACTTAACACCATTAATTTGGACTTGAATAGGGACTGGGAGTGGCTGGCTCACTACAAAAGCAATTTTCCCTTTCTTGGTATTGACACCTCCTCATCAGTTATTGAGAGTGGACCACGTCCACCCTGACTGAATTGGCCTTGTCAACACTGGTTCTCCTCTTGTAAGGTAACTCCCTTCTCTTCATGTGCCAGTATATTTATGCTTGTATCTGTAATTTTCGCTCCATGCATCTGGGGATTTTTACCCACGAAAGCTTATGCCCAAATAAATCTGTTAGTCTCTAAGGTGCCACTGGACTCCTTGTTGTTTTTACTGCTATCATTTACTCTTACCTCAAATAGCAAGGTCTATCACAGGGGTCTCAAACACGCGGCCTGTGGGCCGCATGTGGCCTGTGGAATTATTTGCTGCGGCCCGCCAAGCTCCCCACGCCCCCTCCCCCGCCCCCCTCGAGTTATTTCCTGCGGCTGCCAAGCTCCGCTCACACGCCGCCCCCCGCTGTTTGGCAGTGCTTAGCACTTTCCAGGAGGGAGGGGGGGAGGAGCGGGGAGCCATGCGCTCAGGGAAGGAGGCAGAGAAGAGATGGGGCCAGGGCGGGGATTTGGGGAAGGGGTTGGAATGGGGCAGGGAGGGGGTGGAATTGGGATGGGGAATAGGTGGGAAGAGGCGGAGCAGGGCCTCATGGAAGAGGTAGAGTGGGGGCGGGGCCGGGGGCAGTGGAGGGGGGGGTTGTATCTTTATATGAAAAGCTGTCAGTGATGTGGCCCTCAGGCCAATGTACTAGTCATTTCACGTGGCCCTCATGGTGATTTGAGTTTGAGATCCCTGGTCTATCAGGTGGATCTACATGTTCCGATCCTACTGATCAACCATATGGAAAGCAGTGTCATTCCACGTGGTGGATTTTCTGTATTTTCAGTTTGCTTTTTTAAAAGCCTAGGATATTACATGCAAAAAAACGGTGTTAAAACAACATTATTAAGGTTGCAAAGTCAAACACTCAGATGTTAGAAAATACCAGAAGTAAGCTTTCTCGTGTTCCCAAATATAAAGAACACACAATTAGTAGCCACCTGTGAAAAGTTTAAGTGACTTTCCCCACATTACATAAGAACAGTATGGAAGAGCCAGGGATAGAATACAGTTCTTCGAGGTGGCATTCCATTGTCTTAGCCATGAGATCATCCTTTCTCTTTTTGCACTTCCCTGACTCATTCACTACACACCCTGCAACTTCTACAACAAATTAGGAAGGGGGTCTTACAAACAACTGCCTCAATAACTACACAACCCTGATACAGTCCCTGAGCACTGAATGAGGCCTGGGTCCTGTGGAAAAAGTAGTATGTGATCATGTAATTAAAGACTGTACCATAATGCATACACCCAAGGGCTTGCACTTGGGATTCCTAGCATTCCCACTGCAGTTTCAATTAGATAGGACAGTGTTTCCCAAACTTGGGACGACGCTTGTGTAGGGAAAGCCCCTGGTGGGCCGGGCCAGTTTGTTTACCTGCCGCGTCCGCAGGTCTGGCCGATCGCGGCTCCTACTGGCCGCAGTTCGCTGCTCCAGGCCAACGGGAACTGCTGGAAGCAGCGGCCAGTACATCCCTCGGCCTGCGCCACTTCCAGCAGCCCCCATTGGCCTGGAGCGGCGAACCGCGGCCAGTGGGAGCCGCGATCGGCCGAACCTGCGGACGCGGCAGGTAAACAAACTGGCCTGGCCCGCCAGGGGCTTTCCTTACACAAGCGGCGTCCCAAGTTTGGGAAACACTGAGATAGGGGATTCTCCTCTCCCTGTCTTCAACTATTGTGTGGTTTCAGCTGTAAAATATTAAGCTTGCCAGAGGTGGCTGGCTCTCTAGTGGCTATTGAAGAGATCTCCTGTAGCTAGACTGTGTAACAGTAGGGTATGTTTCTAAAACCCTTTAAAGCCACTGGGAAGAAAGATATTGTATATTTTTAAGATACTATCATTATGATTTCGGTGGGAGAAAAAGTGACTCCTTTACATATACTGTGGCTTGCACAAAGCACTTGAGGTTCCTCCTGGCTGATAGGTGCTACATATATGTAAGTTTTATATTATGTTAGGCATTCCTGTGAAAAATAATAGGTCCAGTACTGAACCTACATATCCCTCGTGGCAATACAGACTGTAACGACTAAATCATTCCTCATTCACTCTCCAGTAGTGAAATCTTATTGGCATAAGGAGGATTCAGGGGGGTGACTACTCTATACCACCAACTAATTGCAGGAATTAGCCTAAACCAGGGGTGGGCAAACTTTTTGGCCCGAGGGCCATATCGGGGTTGCACAACTGTATGGAGGGCCGGGTAGGGAAGGCTGTGCCTCTCCAAACAGCCTGGCTCCTGCCCCCTATCCACCCCCTCCCACTTCCTGCCCCCTGACTGCCCCCCTCAGAACTCTCAACCCATCCAACCCCCCCTGCTCCTTGTCCCCTGACCACCCCCTCCTGGGACCCCCGCCCCCTAGCCAACCCCCCGGCTCCCTGTCCCCTGACTTCCCTGGCCCCTATCCACACCCCCACCTCCTGACAGCCCCACCGGGACTCCCAATGCCTATCCAACTGCCCTCTGCTTCTTGTCCCCTGACCACCCCCTTCTGGGACCCCCCCGCCCCTAACTGCCCCCCGGGATCCCACCCCCTTATCCAACCCCCTCTGCTCCCTGTCCCTTGACTGCCCTCCCGACCCCTATCCACATCCCTGCCCCCTGACAAGCCCCCTGGGACTCCCACTCCCAATCCTCCCTGTTCCCCATCCCCTGACCACCACCCCAGAACTTCCATCCCATCCAACCACCCCCTCCTCCCTGACTGCCCCCAGGACCCCACGCTCCCTTACCCAAACCCCCCACTCCCCGCCCTCTTACCAGCAGCAGGAGCTCTCAGTCGTGACACCCGGCCAGAGCCATCTGTGTTCCCCATGCTGCCCAGATGTGGCGGGCCAGAGCACGGCCCCCGCGGCGATGTGGCTGCGGGTGAGGAGAGATAGCGGGGGAGGGACCGGTGACTAGGCTCCCCAGCTGGGAGCTCAGGGGTTGGGCAGGACGGTCCGCCCCGTGGGCCGTAGTTTGCCCACGTCTGGCCTAAACACTGGTTTCCCTCTCCCCAAGTACAGCTGAATTTATCCCATTCCCTTAAGTACAAGATTTGATTTGGATCCGCTATACATTTGGAATCTGCATGATCTACACCAGATAACGTTAACTTAGTCTTCATTAAAAATATGCCTAGAGAATCTCTCGTCTTGTGAAAATTCCTGTCTGCTCTGTTGCTGTGGTTGCCAGGCTTTGGAATTCCATTATAGGGTACAAAGCAACATTTAAAAGAGATGAGATTGGGACACCGAGTGATTGTAAGAGGTGCCCTTGCTGCAGAGTACCCAAAACGCCTATTTTGTGTTTGTGTTGTACATCTCCTTTGCCACTTTCAGAATTGTAGGTGTGGACTGAAAAAGGAAGAGCTGGCCAGACCAAGCTGACAAGAAGAAATGAAGTTTAGAAAAACAACATACAACCTCAACTCCATCATCAGCAAATGATGGAATCTCTGGGGGTGGCTAATCTCCAAACACTTGGATACAAGGCGTTAGACAGCGATTGAAGTTCTTCCATATTTCACCTCTTCCTGCATTTTTTCCCCTTTGTCAAAGCTGCTGTTAATCCACTGCAGACTCTGGTTCAATGTTTGTGCTAAATTAAGTTGTGTGTTGGGGATGATGTCAGCCCAGGCAATGCAGTGGAAGGGTGTATAAACAGAATACAATTAAAGCAGTAAGGAAATATGTAAAGTAGTCAGTCAGGCTGGCTCAAATGAAGAGATTTCTCGATGGTTTCTTCTTTCTCATTGCTACCCTCCATGTCTTAAACACCACTTTTTATGTGGTATGATTAATATGACACCAGGTGGCCATTAAAATCCATTATTAGCCTGGGGCCACCGACACGCATTGCCATATGGGTCTAGGAGGACCCACTATCCAAGTGGGACAGCAATGCCTCTGGTCCCCAGAGACCTCTGCTCTCTAATCTAGCCCTGCATAGCATTGAATGTCTTGGAAAGTAGACTGCTTGCCTTACTATATTGAGTTCATCCATCAAGATGGGCATTTGTGTTCCTCTTGCAGAGCTCCCGTGACAAGGATGTGATCCTCAACATTCTCAGCATTCTCACAGACCTGCTGTCTATTGGTAAGTACTGATGCCTTAATGTCTCATTTTAGGTACTTATATGGTCCTCTTGGTTTTAGAATCTGAGAACCTCACAACATTTGAAATGTCTTTACAATCCCAACACCCCATGAGACATGGCAGTGCTATTATCCCCATTTTACAGATGGGGAACTGAGACAAAGAGACTAAGTGACTTGCCTTGTCATACAGGAAATCTGGGTGGAGTTGGGAATTGAATCTGGGTCTCCTAAGTCCCAGTTAACACCCCCGCCACTGAACCATCCTTCCTGTCTTGTAGAGTGAAGATGTGTGGGACTAAAACAGGACACAGAGCATACATAAACATATCTCTGTCAGGTGTTTGCTAGATCAGTTCTGCCTAGTTTGTGTGAATAGCCCTTCAGCTTTTCCTCCTATTTATATGGAAGATGGGGGAGGGTGGTTTCCTTGCTCAACCCCTCCCACCTACTATATAATTTTATCACATGGTGAAAGAGGGGAAAAAAATGTTCCCATGATTTTCAAAGGTGGCCATTAATTTAACTGCTTCTCAAGATGTTTCAACCTTCTCAGGGAGCTGAACGCTGGAAACATTCAGTCACCTGCCCCATTGGAAAGAGAGAACCATGAGCTATGAGCAGGAGACAGCCTCCTGGGTTGCAGCAATTTGATTCTGTAGTGCAGTGTTTCCCAAACTTGGGACGCTGTTTGTGTAGGGAAAGCCCCTGGTGGGCCGGGCCGGTTTGTTTACCTGCCGCGTCCGCAGGTCCAGCCGATCGCGTCTCCCACTGGCCGTGGTTCGCTGCTCCAGGCCAATGGGAGCTGCTGGAAGCTGCGTGGGCCAAGGGATGTATTGGCCGCCGCTGCCAGCAGCTCCCATTGGCCTGGAGCAGCGAACCACGGCCAGTGGAAGACGCGATTGGCTGGACCTGCGGACGCAGCAGGTAAACAAACCGGCCCAGCCCGCCAGGGGCTTTCCCTACACAAATGGCGTCCCAAGTTTGGGAAACACTGCTGTAGTGGATTTCCCCTCAGAAAGAAAAAGTACTTGGAACTGTCAGGGAAATGAACAGCTTCTCCTCAGCTTCACTTCAGTGGTATGAAATCTCCTGCATGGATGTAGAAATCCAAAACCCCCACACATAGAGACAACATTATTTTCAAAGTCTCCTCTATCTGCATGTTCACAGTGAAGATGATTCTTCAGGGTGTCCGGGCCACGTGAAGGGAAAATAAGTTGCCAGCAGAGCATTTAACCTTAATTTTTCATCAAAATTTCCTTTAGTTGAAATTTTTCCAACTAACTCTAGTTGCCAAAATGCAGGGCTCTGTGTGTGTGTAGTTTTTACATCCCTAGTGCAAGCCTCATATGCTCCTACTTTACATTCTCCCCCTCCCCCCAACTCCATCAGAGACATCATAACCGCAGCTGTGACTCTCTGTTGGAGTCTATATCATTCTTCAATCGGCTAGATGGATTCAGTGTGGATGATATGAGCCCCCCGGGGACTGAATGTACTGCTTCCACAATACTCCCAGCCTGGGTTTCCAGTAGAAAACTTCACAGCTGGCCAAAGATGCCTCTGGATTATGAGCTGTTGACACAGTAGGACCCAGAGGGTTAGCATTTGGTTTCTCTGGAGACCTTATTTGTTTGGAGGCTGACACCAAAGCTTTCCTAGGATTCATTCCCCTATCCTAGGCACTGTTAAAACTCTTTCCCTTCACTTATTTAACTTACAATATCTAGGGAAAGATCACGGAGCAGTGCACTCCTTTGAAATCTGTCAGTGTTTCTGCTGATTCTTCTCCAGCCCATTTCAATGCACACTGAAAGCTTCAGCAGGTGGTGGCTTATATAGATAATAGCAGGTGGAGCAAGAAGCAGCATCACGCATGGTTTTGATATAGAGCAGAGATGGGCCTGAACCACAGCTTCAAATGCTGGGGGGTGTTTGAAATCCAAGTCCAGATGTACATTTTGCAAATTCCCTTTTATTTATAATGGTCTGAGCAAGAAAACACCAGAGAAGGGTCATGTAGCGGGCTTCTTTAGGTCTGATAAGCATCCTCTGAATCATATAATGTTCACTTATTGCTATGTTTAAAGCTCTGCGACAGGAAAGTTACTGACTATCCCTCCTTTTAAATTTTCTGCCCTTAGGAACAGACCGACGAATTCACTACATGATCAGCAAAGGGGGGAGTGAAGCTTTGTTGCAGGCTCTGATGAATGCTGCACAAACAGCCCAGCCAGACTACAGCATCCTTTTACCTCTGCTTCGCCTGCTGGCTAAAGTAGGCCAAAGAGGTATTGCTGTGCCATTATTACTTAAAGGATGGGGAGGGAGGAGCAGAAGGCTCCAAAGGTCACAGTAAAGGTCAGTACTGGAATCTACCAGTGTTTTAACAAGTCAGGACACTTTGCACTGAATGCTGGCTTGGTGATTCGGGAGTGGGGCAGAGTATTGTAAGACCTCATAATGGTTTCCCCCTCTAGTGGCTAGAAGTTTGTACTAAGAATATAAGCACAGCTGATGGAGATCCAGGTCAGAGAGATTCTATAATGGAGTTCATTCTGAGCTCCTGAACAGCATTTTGTGTCACTGATAAAGCCCAGCGGGGCAGTAAGTGATTCCCATACAAAACATGGTCACTTACCAAGGCTACTTCTCTTGTGACTTGGTTTGTGTATCCCAATAACACATTCAAAAACATGTTTCACTTGTTGCTGTGTCTCTATCCTCAGAGAAATTGTTGTTCAGCACAGCTAGGATGCCCGAGCTTTGTTCTTCACACCCAACGTTCAGTGGAAGAGTTATCTGGGAAGCTCTACCATTTTTATGATTTTGTTTTCTAGGTACTGCACCTCTATGTTTCTGGCAATTGGCCATCTGCAAAAACAGCTGCCATTTTGTGAGACAGAGCTTTGATGCAGCATTTTATAGAAGAGATGCACCCACATAGCTCTTTCTTGTGGAGACTTTACTTTAGTTCTGTCTTGTTCCCCTTAACTTAAAATAGGTCATTGAAACTGAAATTACATGGTTGTTCTTTGCATATGAAAAATGTGACACCGGGCAAGTCACCAGACTCCTCTGGGCCTCATCTTACCTATGTGTAAAAGTGAGGGGGAGAATACTGATTTCCCTCACACGGGTATTGTGAGGCCTTAGTAATAAATGCTGTTTGTAAATGCTTTGAGATCTTCCTATAAAACTCCTGTTGAAGGACGTGGCGTGATTAAACCACAGCATGCAGCATTTCTGTGTCACTGTGAAAGCCACTCTTTATTTACCATCCTTTCCTTCCTGTTTGCTTTCACAGACAGGAAGTTTGGGTTGAAAGTGCAGAAACTGGAGGCAATTGATGTGACACTGAGCATGGCAAGGAAAAATCTGACTCACCACCTGAATCTCATCCACTGTCTCTGGGTCCTGCGGGTTTACGCCTCTAGTGGTAAGTGCTCCTTTCCATTTCTCATGCCAGTGAGAGTCGGAACTCCTTCTGCAGTTGCTACAATGCAAGCTAATGGTCCCTCTGCTACAGAGACGTGCATCTATAAGCAGCCTATTGGCATCTATGTTTGATAACAGATAGGAGCATATGCAACAGCTAGCATAGCTCTAGGTATGCTCTCATAGAAGGGTAACTCTCAGAGGGATCTTTCACTGTAAGATTCAGTGAACCTACTCATCCAAAGACTATAGAAGATAGAAAACAGCCATGTAAAAAAACCCAACATTCAGTCCAAACGATGCAGGATCCTTCCCTTCAGTCTATTCTAGATGTCTTAGGTACTCACATGGCCCCTAATACGATCCTCCTCAGAATCATTAATGCATTTATGCTCACAACCCCCCTGTGAGTTAGGGAAGTGCTATTATCCCCATTGTACAGAGTGGTAACTGAGGCACACAGAGACAAATGAGTTATCCAAGGTCACACAGGAAGTCTGTGACAGACTGAACCC